GGCAACCCGGACCCGGATATCTCCTGGTTTAAAGACTTCCTCCCCGTCAATACCACCAACAACAACGGCCGCATTAAACAGCTGCGATCAGGTAGGTTGCTTCTCCGTCATCAAAGATCTTTTTGATGTCATCTCTGTTCCCCTTAATATGACTTTTAGAAATTATTTTTGTAGGTAATGGCATTTTCCAATATTTCCTGTTCTATTCTGAGTTTACCCCAGTGTGTTTCTTTTGGTGTTGTCATTAGACTGTTGGAATTTTGTCTCCCCTCATGTGTAGGCTAAAACCGATTTGGGGTTTTTCTTTCTGCTATGTTGGTGCAGTGTGTTTGTTTCGTTTTTGTGAGTCCATTCTTTTTTGGTTTTGTATTGATGAAAATCTCTTCTCGGAAGTTCTCGTACCTTATTTTGTTTGTCTGTGGTATATGGACCTTTATTGGAAATCCGATTTGAAGAAAGAATAATGGTCTATATAGCAGCTATGTGTTTTATTTTGTTGTTGTTTTAATCCGACATAATCTACACTCTCAGAAAAATCACGTTTAGGGGTACGACAACTTGTCACTGTGATGCCATCCACCCCTGACACCCTTGGAAACGGAGACGCACCTTTTATGGCCTTGGGAAATTTACATCAGGAGTCAGATGAGTCACTCTTTGAAGGTGCATCAGTACCGTATTTTCCGGATTATACGTCGCTCCAGAGTATAGGTCGCCCCAGCCATAAAATGCATAATAAAGAAGAAAAAACAGATATAAGTCGCATTTGGTGGGGGGAGGGGGGGTTATTTGATTAAATCCAACACCAAGAACAGACATGTCATCTTGAAAGGCAATTCAAAATAAAAATAAATACTAAATGCTAACGTTTCATGACACATAAACAACGAACTGAGAACGTGCCTTGTATCGTCACGTAACCCATTAAGAATGATTCAGATAACTAGAGCATAAAGAACGAACAAGTTTACCAAACCATCAGTCTCACTCCAAATAACTAAATCTAACGAAATATTCATCCCCGGTGTCACTTTTGAACAACTCCGGAGGTAGAAGATGCAGCGCTTCCTCTTCTACGTCGCATACGTCAGACTTATCATTGACTTATCAACACAGGCCTAGAGCGCCCTCTTGTGGTTAAATCTGAAAGTAACATGTGAAAATGATATAACGTGTCTCACACAAAAGTCGCTTCAGAGTATAAGTCACACCCGCCAACCAAACTATGAAAAAAAACCTGCGACTTACAGTCTGAAAAATACGGTCCGCATTGATTCCGACTCCACCTTCTGTATCCAACAATGAGTTTGGGAGTACAGTCTCGACTTTTAGGCTGCATTCCCGCGAGCAGTTCGTTTGAGTGCAATTGTTCGGATGTCATTGACTTCCCACGGTAGCCCAATTTCTACAACCATATCAACTTCCTACATGATGCCTTTTTCCCAGAAAGCCATCGACATCCTGTTAGCCGCATTCCTATCAAACGTATCGACGACTCATCGCCCTCTCCAGACCTGTTCACTTCCGATGGTACCCCTGTTCCTACAAACCCATCAAGTGATTACGATCACTAGTAAATAACTAAAGAGGAGAAGGGTCAAATAAAATATCACACGGTTTCTCTCGAGAAAAAAGTCCAGCCTAGTGACAAAACCTGACTTTTAAGTACAATTTGATATGCATTCAAATGAGTCTTGTTCCATTGATATGGTGTGAATGCTTTTAAGGGGAAGTCATAAATTGTCTTGTTTTATACGTCCCCACTTGTCTAAACACAGCATTGCGATCAATACTGCATTTATATAATATAAAAATGTTTAAAATTCCACCCGTTTTCATCCATCTTAGGGGCAGGCATTTTGCTGCTTGCAGGTCGACTCAAAATGATGTCACAGTTGCTAAGGGCTCAAGTAACGACCAATCAGCTTGCAAGTGTCACATGACCAAACTCAGAAAACAAATGAGTCAAAATTGGCCATAATTGGACCACTTAAACACACATTTATTGCACATAGATTAGCCGTTTAGAAATCTGGAGGATTTGTGGACCGCACGAATCTATTCCTTTGCTGTGCTTGGCTAGCATTGGCACTACTCGTAGCTCTTGAACAACGTCATGGCCCTGGCAGCACAGCATTACCTATTTAGCAGTCTTGGTGGACAAACCTGGTCCATTTTCATGTTGTGCTAATGCTAGCATTTGTTCATGTTGTAATGAGGGACCAGCCAGGACCGGGCTAGGACTTCCATCGGTGCTAATGCTGCTATTTATTATGCGCGTGTACGAAGAGCAAAATCACTGAGAATACGCAGCGTCGCTGAGCACGCTCGGCCATCTTTATTAGCGAGGATACTCTGTGCCATGGTGGGGAAGTAAATTACCGAAAGCTGGTGTCACTAGGCAACTGGGCGTGATGCTTCTTTTGTTTGGGGTGAAAGGTTGGAAGCACTCCTGCTAATCTTGCTTCACAATTAAGGAATAATAAGGACTAAAAGAATGGCTGCTATTGTGAGTGGGCTAATCGAAAGGGTATTTGCACTGTAAATGGGTGGGGCGGGGGGGGGGCTGTTGATATTTAACACTCTCCTAAGATGTCGGCAAACAATCGGCGACGTAATTACAAGGGGAGATTTACTTGGAATAACAGCGCAGAAAAACGAAAGCACAGTCATTGTTGATGGGACATCGCTCGCTTCCGACGGCCAACCCTTAAACGCCTCGCCAAGGTTAAAATGCAACAGGGGATATTGGGAAGGAGCCTCCTGATGTCCACTGTTCCTTTTCCTTATCCGTGCTTTTTTTATATCATAGCAATCCCGATATACTGTGGCAAAAAGAATCCTCGAAGTTGCTTGTGGCAAAAGGGAAAATAAAATGCTTTCCCCAGATCAGTGAAGTAGCAACCTAACGTGAGCTAGCCTCCCGGGATGCCATGACATCTTGATTGTTTTTGTGCGTCTATGATCTTGAGTACAGTATGTTGCCGAAATTGATACAAAAAAAATCTGACCCTGCCCCCCACACTCCCTCCCCCCTCCGGCCTCTATCTGCACACGTACTAATGCTTCTTTCTAATCTTATTTGCATTCATATTATCCACCCAGGTGGTACGCCAATAAGAGGTAAGCGTGCTGAACTGACGCCTCACAGAATGAAAAAAAAAAACAAAAAAAAAAAACAAAAAGCAATCCAGACTTCATTCTTGCTGTCACCGCCATCCCCTGAGTGCCATCACTC